GCATGAGAAATGTTCTGACCAAGGTAAAGTGGCCCTCACTTCTAAATGACTGAGGAGAAAATATGGCAAACATCATTAAATGAAATGTCTGCCTGAATCAAAGGAAGCAGGATGCAAAAACTTTAGAACAAAACCTAAACTCTTTGTTTTCTAGAGTTGTTTTATGGTTTATTTAATGTTTGTGCTAACAGAGCAGAGCCAGCCACTTTGTAAGCTGTCTGAGGCTAATGTGTTGCTATACAACGTTCTGATTAACTGTGAAATACATTATGGCCAAATGATGGGGCATTTTCCTTTTCCAATTTTGATATCTCTGTTTTAATTGCATACTTCAATCATTTATTTATTTGACATCACTTGGCTATAAAGGGTCACAACACTAAAAGGTTGGGAACCAGCACTCTAATACACCAACACTAAGCAGATGTGCAATATACTTACAGATATGGACAGCATGCATATGTGGAAGAGCCTGTCTTCCGCTGTGGGGTCACATGGCAATATAACTCTGATAAAAAACACCAAAACACATTGAAATTAAGTAAAAGCTGAATTATTTGCGGATATGGCACAAAATGCAAATACTTGTAAAACAAGAGACAATTATCATTTAAATTGCTTAAATGTCTAAGTCCAAATGTTGCTACTGCCAAAATAGTACCACAGTTTGTTTCGCAATGTAATTGCAATTGATGGGTATATATACATATAATCTATATCTTTAAATGTATATGATTGCATTACTGAAAATGTTCCAATTACAAGACATTTCACTTTTTTCAGCACAAAATCACCAAACAACCGTTTGACACCATCAGTTCTGCTCTTTTTTATCTTCAGGTTTGATACTCACTCTTTGGGGGGTTGGGTTGGCTCTGCGTTGTTTGAGTACCAGTCTGAATAATCATAATAAGAATATTCAAAAGGCTCAAATTCCACCTTGCTGGTATTCATGGCCGCTGTTCAGTCGAGTCCAACAGGATGCAGCGGGATGATTAAAGATCCAGAGGATCCAGGAGCCCTCGCTCAGCGACCTGCTGGTGCTGAAACGTGTCGGGACAGTTTGGACAAAACACCCAGAAACATTCCAGGTCAACAGAGAGCTCAGCAGCAGATTAACAGCTGCACAGGGGGAGTGTGAGGGGAGAGAGAGAGGGGAGAGAGAGGCTCAATAATACAGCCTGTAATAGACATTCAGAAATCAACTTAAAAGGTGCTTTTTTAAGTGATTTTGTTTTTCTTTGATGGGGAAGTTAATCTTTATAATCCTGGCTTTATAATTCAACTTCAAAATATTGATGCCACTTTGTACTACTACTGAGGGAACACAAATAAATAAAGACTTAAAGTCTTATTTAAGTGTTGATTATATTTCACATAATTTATCCAAATCTGTAAAGTAAGTAAAGGTATTACATACATGTAGTGGAGTAAAATTACACCATTTACCTCTGAACTGTAGTGGAGTAGAAGTACAAAGTAACAGAAAGTGTAAATACTCAAGGAAAGTACAAGTATCTCAAAATTGTACTTAAGTTAATGTACTTAGTTACTTCCCACCTCTGCAGCTTTGATTAGTCAATGGACACAAAATGAATAGGCAATTATTTGGATAATTGCCAGTAAACTATTGCTCATGCTTAAACACCATATTATTTCAGCTTTACATATGTCAGGATTTAGTTGATTGATTTACTTTTTAGTTGTGATACAATGTAGATGTGTCCATTTGTGCTCTCAGTTATTGTGATGGCACTTTTCTTAAGTTTTACAAACCAAAAATGTAATGTATTAATAGATACAAAATCAGTCAGCAGATTATATATCGCTAATTGCAGCCTTATTTAAATATATTTAATCTAAGAACGTTTTGGTTTATGCCTAAATGTCATGAGTATTGATCTCTCTTTTTGTGCCTACATGAACATGTTCCTGTTTTTGCTGATGACTCCAAACGAGCCAAACAAAAGTTAAAAACTAATTTCATTAATTTCTTCAATCACAAGAATGATGTTTGATACATTTGAATGTTATATGTGTGTTGTTTTCATGTTGAAATAAAGCACTCTTGGTAAGATTAGGCAATGCAACGTGGTTGTAGCCTGTTTGCCTCGCTCCGCCTGTTACTAGAGAGACTAATCTTATAATAAGATGAAAATCTCTGATTCAAACAGGGGCAACCTTTGTGTGAAGAGAGCTTAGGAAAGGCCAAAATGAGAATGTGGATGGTTTGACACGTGAGGTAAGACTTCAGATTAGAATCACTCCAAACTAATGTTTTATTTGTGATATAAAGAAAGAAATGTATTAAAGGTGCCAGTTACAGCAGCAGATTGACTGATCACCTGAAGTACACAGACCTTTAACCTTTGAAAACTGGAGCATGAAGATGGATTCAGTGATTCCAGGACATTTTGTTCTTCACTTGCATCATGAAGATTATTTGAAGGTACATTTCCAGCCATTTGACACTTTTTCAGAGCATCATTTGCTGTAAATAAAATGCATCACCTTTGAGAGCTGAAAGGGTCTTAATCTGGATGTGTGAGCTCACTCATATGACAAAGGCCTCAGAGGGCCAGCTGATCGGATCCCAGGATTTTCTGACTGAGGCTAAAACACTCAACTGCTGCTGCTACATAAAAACCAATGAAACGCAGACACATGTGCTGGAGGCTCTTAAAGGTATACTAAGCAGTTGCACTTAAAAAGCCAAGCAAAGCTCTTTCCCAGAGCCGTCTGTTGAGATTTCACTTGAACTACTAAAGAAAATATTTGTATGCATGTAGCTCTGCTCCTCTGATGTCTTCAATGTGTTTGAATCAGAGGGTAAAGTAATACTGAGTGACGTCTCTTATCAGACTGACATTTTATTGAACACCAACACTCGCTTCAACTATAACCGTCTGCTTTCACAACTCGTTTCAAAGTGGGGAACCATATTTCCATTACATTATTATAATGTCACTATGCAGATGTGAAAACTGAATATATAGCCTCAACTTTAACTCAGTAGATCAAGAGAAAGACAGGAGACATGTCTGTCCTTTTCTAAGTGATGCCTTTTGTTTTTTTGGTTTACTGCTGTCTACTTTTTTGCCATTTGTTTCTAAGCACACTCTTTTTAGCTATACTAGTCTCTACCTCTTTGGTTCAGATGGATTGCCTTGAAGTTTTGTAGAAACATGGTTCCCAGAGGAGAAATCCCAATGACTTTGGTAATACCCCTGACTTTTTCTCTAGCTCCAAAATTCTGATTAGCAAATGTTAGTATACTAAAATAAGAGGGAGAACTTGATCAACATCAAACCTGCAAACATCTGCATGTCAACGTTGTCATTGCAGGCCGAGGTAAGCCTTCACCTCAAAGTACCAGCTAGGCTTTTTAGCGTACTGTAAGTTCTGCTCTACAAACCAGTTTTGGGCCATTAGGAGTCGATGTAAGTCCGTAGGCATCTTGGTATTCTTGGCTCTAGAAGTAACATGCGAGGATAGAGCAAAGTACCTAATGCCTATTTGTTAGGGGACCAAATCATTTGAAACTTTCATGAACTGAAAACACACTTTGAAAGGGTTAAAGGTCATACACACGGACACCTAAACCAGTCAACACTGAGGTAGTAACATGTCAATCACAACATTGCCCCGCCCTCTAAATGGGACCAGGATTTGACAAAGTGGAAAAAATGCTGTAATAATAAAGAAAGATTGAAGCCAACAATAGAGACCATAAACCCAATGAGACAATGTTTACTGAGGTAATAAAACAGGTGTGAAGTAGGGTCCTTTTTCATCCCAGGGACAGTTTCATCCCACACGCCAGAAGACTGTTAAACACCTGAACTTTTGAAACAACATCCACAACATTCATCTGGCTGCAATTTAGAAATTGTTTATCTAATATATCATATTTAATCACTTGTATACAGACTCTTATTGCACTATTCCGCTATTTCACTTTTTTACTATTTTTCTCTTTGTATTTACTTGCACTATTTGTTCTGTTTTTCAGTTTTATTGTGTTGCACTGTTGGAGGAGCCTGTGACCTAAGGTTTTCATCGTCATAACTACACTGTAGCTATGTACGTATGACCAATAAAAGCCTTGAACCTTGAACCTTTTTTCATAGACTTCTATACAATCCGAGTTATTTTTGCAATTGGTTGAATTGCCCCTGCTGGATCTTAGAGAAAATGCACATGAAGGACCCTCCATATTGGCTTCACTTTTCAGATTGCTGCCTGATCATTTGACCTGTGAGGACATGGTCGAATATTATAAACGCTGTTTTGCTTGTCAGACCAGCAATTATAAATTTCCTACATTTTTCATGAATTTTAAAATGAAAGCTATCTGTGGCAACACAGAACAGCAGTATCAGTACTGTATCTTATTTAAACCTTCTTTGTTCTATGTCTCCATCCATCTATTATCAAGATCCTCTCAAGAAAGGTTAATCACCTAAAGACAAAACTCATGTTCATATCAAAGAAAAGCCTTTAACAGGCCCTTAAAACTAATCACTTTGTTCCATACTCTAATTGGAACTATAAGAATAAGAAGAAATTGGACTTCTGCAAACTGGACAAATTGTTTCAAACAGTGCATCTGGATAGATGTGTAAAAAAACTGTAACTCAACTCCATGTGTGTTTGTGTGCGTGTGTGCGTGTGTGTGCGTGTGTGTGCGTGTTAAAACTAGACAGAAGAGGGCACTATTTCACTGCATTACAGTGTGTCCAGTTCTCAGTCAATTCAATTTTGATCCATGCATTACAGCTGACACATAATTCATGTTTTTCTTTCTTTAAACATGCCTATCTCTATTTCATACAATGAACCTTTACCCCTTTTATTAATTATGAACCCTTATAACTGAACGTAATAATGGCTATATGATCTCTTGTGAAACTCTTAAAAAACAGAGTAAAAAACCATTTTCAAGCATTTTGTCTTTATCAAGGCATGACAACATGAATATTACACATTCATAACAGCAGGATACAGTCCATCTATCACCAAACAAATAAAGATCTGCACCTCAGACACAAAGTCTACATATTATACAAATAGATAGCAAGCATGATGATAAAAACTGAATTCAATTTCCTTTTCAGAATGACCTGATGTGAAAACAACAAACACATAATAAAGTGGCCTTATAAAATAACAGCACGCAGAATCTCTGATATGTATACAGGAATACAAAGCAAATAACTGTGAAATAACATCCCTCCACACATGGAGATCATTAGTGAGTGCATGGGTTTTGGGGTGATGGTTTTAGTTTTTGAACATGTCACACAACAGTTTCTCCATGGGAGTGTTTCCGATGGTCCTGTGGAAGAACAGCAGCTCTATCCGCTCCGAGTTCACAAAACGCAGAGAGGGAAGAAGAAGAAGCAGCTTTCCAAACCTTTAATAAACACAAGGAAGAAACATATTATCAACGGTTAATAGTACAGCATGTATAAACAATTAGTTGCTCATCATTATAACTTAAAACCACCTCAGAAAACAAGTATTGATAAGAAAATTGCAAGTCAACATACAACTTTGTGAGTGCTTAGTGCTGATTATTAAAATGTAACAACATTTGACAACCTGTTAAAGAATAGCTGGGACTGTTACATTTAAATGTACTGCAAAACTCCACAGGCCTAGCATTCATTTAAGCTGGCCTTACACGATTATATGTTATTTATTATAATGTAAGTCAAAGTAAGTCAAGTCCTCATTTCTGTGAAATAAGTTGGATGGAGCATTTATATGAATCTTCTAGTCATACATGTCAAACTCAAGGCCCGGGGGCCAAATCCGGGCCGTGGTGGATTTAATTTCGGCCCGCAGGATAATTTCTAATTACTATTAGATCTGGCCCGCCGGTATATTGCACGCACACCTTCACTCAATCCTGAGGGTTTCCTCAGCTCAGAGCCTGAGCCCAAACATTGATGAACTTGCACCCAAGGTGAGATGCCAAGTATCTGAACTAGCATCACAGAGCAGCAAGCTGAGTTTACATGGATGTTTCCTTTTTGCACTTTTTTTCTTGCAACAACAGGCCATGTTTGTTTTTTCTTTGAGGAAAATAGTTGTTGGAAGCTGCTGTTGGCCTGTGGAGAAATGTAATCATAAGAAAGGACTCCGGAAAAGCTGCAGATAGAGCCATAAGAAATGACTCTGCAGATAGAGCCATTATAAATGAATGCAACTGATTATTTAATGTTTAATGTTGTTTTTATAGGCAATCATTTAAGCTTTGTTAATGTAGTTCTAGGTTTAATATGCGCAATAAGTGCATTTCAATAAGTTTTGCAATAAACATTGAACCAGTCCGGCCCTCGACTAGCACCCATTTTTAAATGTTGGCCCACTGTGTATTTGAGTTTGACACCCCTGCTCTAAGTAGCTGGCCAAAAGAAACAAATATGTATTAAAAAATCAAATCCCTCCCAAAAGCTACACAGATTTTTGGTAGCAGAAAAAGTTTCAGTGATCTGAGACCTGTGTGAGTTCCTAAGCCGAATTTAAAGGGTTTCCATACTAGAAACTGTAATATGTGTTTTTTAATAATCTTTGCGAGCACAGTTTGAAGAAGAGCAATCAACTACAAAATAATAGAAACACTCGATGATTGAGGGAGTTTTGTCTTTCAGACTGGTAGATGATAGACAGAAAACATAATATATCTTCATCTTCATGTTTTGGTCATGTTTGGTGTATAATAACATCATTTTGGCCTTTTTGCCCTCTAATATACATTTAAGAGCAAAAGTAAAGGTGTATATTTTGGTGTCCATGCAGCACTGAGGCAGTGCTGTCACAGGACAGGGGACATACCTGGCTGGTTGACTGGGGTAGTGTGATCGGATGTGTTGTCCCAGCATCACTTGGGACTGATCCTGCAGGTTCTCCACTTGTTCTGGATCTTTTAAACCACGAGTCTCTGCGGAGGAGAGCAGACACAAATATGAGCCACACATATCCAGACAAACTGCAGAAATATACTGAAAGGATGGCTTTGCAATATGAGCTGGTGCCACTCTCTCCACATAACTAGAAACACAATGAAGTCTTTAAAGTTATAACATTTTATCTCCTCAGTAAATATCAAAACCTGATCGTTTGAGGTTATGTACTATATGTTATATATTAACAACGTGTTTTTTTTAGGATTTTGGAAGGAAATGTTTTATGTATTTTGTATTCACATGTGTGTACTGTATAATGTAAGATTCCCCTTGACTGCCAGGCATTTCACTCCGGGGATCAAATAACATTTGAAAGTTAACTAATTATAAGATATTATAATAGTAATATTAAGCTAATATTTTCGATATTATAGGCCTTTAGAATCTTTTTACAAAATCTTATTGTTGCTTTGCAATGATAACACTAAACAGATTCTTGAATGACTTCTGGATAAGTAATATATGATTTGGCCTCACCTGGCTTGAACAGCACGATGGCCTTCAGGCAGGCGAACTCAGTGGGATCGACAGCGAGGGCCTTGAAGCGGCTGAAGACCTCCTGCAGGAGGCGCAGGTCCAGGCCGGTGTAGCTGGTCTTCCCCTGCATGCCGGGGCAGAGGTCCGGCAGGGAGAGCAGCGGGCAGCTGTCCAGAGGCAGAGACCACTGGATGGCACAGAGCAGGAAGAGCTCGCTCCACGCCTCCTCCAGCAGGATCACCTGGTGGACACCAACAAGAGTCCTAATGTAAAAACTGTGATTCAAATGTAGCTTTGTTTGGAGCCTCACTGGTTAGTCAAAGCTGTTACAGAGGCATATGGAAGCCCATTACTGCCAGAAAGTTGCTAAATGATATACTTTTTGATAATAGTTAACTATCAAGCACGAATTATGATTTTTTTTTTAAAATTCTAATTCAAATAAATTACTTCAATTTAAAAGACAGACAATTGGAAGATGGACATTTTTTGAACACTTTGCTGTTTACCAAAAAAAAAAAAAATCTGAAATTAATCAGGTCCCAAATCTGACTCTGCAACAGTATTTTATTTTTCTCTTTTTCCTAACGCGATTGGGTTATATTTTGAATCTATAAAGATGTTTTTATTTTACTTGCTAAATTAAAAGACCTGCAGTGTGTTATGAGTCTACCTGGTCTCTGAAGGGCAGGTTTGAAAACACGGGCAGGTTCTTGGCCCACTTCACCGACATGAAGAGCAGCCTGGCCGAGGTCTCGTACACGTTCTCCGAGCTGGACGGGTACAGAGCCATGTGGTACTCCGAGGACGCTCGCTCCGGCTCGTTGCTTGTTACGTCGATGTTCTCGTCAACTGAAAAGCGGAAATGTTCAAATTAAATTGTATTGCTTCATGTTAACACTAATGTAGCTGTAGACCTTGTTAAATTAAAATAAATTCAATATATTAAATGTTTTTAGACAAAATCCTGCCTACCCTATCCAATAAACATACCTATAACTTTCTTGTTCTAAATGAATGGCTTGAATTGACCTACGTGACCGGTTAAAATGCCAAAACTGGGGTTACAAACACATGGAATAATTCCAATTCCAAATAAATGATCCATTCTGTCTAATGTGATGTCAAATCAAAACCCTCCTCACCGTCTTCGGGCTCCAGCTTGGCGCAGGTCTCTGCCGTCATGAGGCTGGCCATGAAGCGGTGGTTGTTTTGGGGACTGGTGCAGCGCTGGGGGGCCACAGAGGAGGTGATGGATATGGAGGAGGTGATGTGGGGCCACGTGATGACAGACGATGAAGAAGAGGAGGAAGAAGAGGATGAGGAAGAGGAGGTGGGCTCCCGCGTGGTGGCCAGGTGCTCCTTCTCATGGTCCACGTCGATGGAGTCCAGGCGAACCTGAGCTGTGCTGCGGGGCTGCCGCTCGTTCTGTACTGCTGCAGAGAGGAAGAGGACAGGGCGCGAAAAGAGGGAAATAATTTTAAAATAAATCTGTAATCTAGATTCTAACAGTCAAAGTTTGTAAGCATTATTTGAGGCATGTTTTTGAATGTTTAAAAACACTAACCATCCTTATTCATGCCCGCCTGCAGGCACTTCTTCAGCCGACACGCCTGGCACTGGTTGCGGTGAGCTTTGTCCACAGGACACATGCCTGTACTGGCCTGGCACCTGTTAACACACACCCAACATGAAACACTGTAGTTATAAATACACACTTACAGATTTATAATTTTTATCTGAAATTCACATTCCTTTTTAGATTAAAAAAAGGCCACCTGTAGAAACCATGAACACTAGTTTACAATTTACCAAAATAACACATACCAACTGAAAGACACATCGTTGATTCAAATGTCTATCAAGATGCCCAAATGGGATTGGATCCTAATTATTTTATGTAAACATCACTCACCAACAGCTTAATTGTTATTATAGTAATTCATGTTAATTGGCACTTTTCAATCATTTTCAATAATACAAGTGTATATTTTCAGGTGACAAATTCATTTATTTAACTATGTTTAATGCATCCTAATTTTGTTCTAAAAGAGCATGAGCTTATTTTTTAACATACATGTTGGATTTGTTTGATATAACTACAATTATTGAAAATGTTACAGATAAGATGTTTAAAAAAGCATGCTGGCCTCCCATAATGCACCTCATAAGGCTTGAGAGTGATGGTGAACTTGGGTTATTCTTTATCTATGAAGTTAATAAGGAGTTTCTTTCTCTTGCCTGTAAATGAGCCTCCTCCTCACGCTGCGTTTGAAGAAGCCGCTGCAGCCGTTGCAGGCGTAGATGCCGTAATGTTTCCCGCTGCTGGTGTCTCCGCACACTTTGCAGACCAGAGCCAGGCTCAGAGCTTTGCCCGGGGACGGACTCTTGGCTGTGAGTCAAAACACACAGGGCCGAGCGGTTAGTGCCATTCATGAGGTCTGGTATTGTTTCATAAGTGTGCCTGCCATCTGTACTGCCAGCTCACTCTACTGCAACAGTCGGCTAGGCCTGAAAATCTCATTTAGTAAATTATTACAAACAATAAAATGGCCGGAGGCAAATTAACAGCAAAGACAAACGATGCAGGGATACTGATATTAATCCACATAAACACATTAATTAAACATAGATTAATATGGCATCAGTTACAGTTGAATTATACTAATGATATTCTAGCCTTGTTCTAAATTGATTAAGTAGATTTGTGTAAACTGAATGTTTGTTGGCAAAAAAAACTGTTTAGCCATGTGTGATGTCAAATCATAGATTCTCAAACAGAAGCTTGGAATAACAAATTAAAATGATGAATGTTAATTACTACATAAGTCAGGTGTATGTGAAACTCTTACCTGCTCTGCTGTCATCTGTACCGCCGCTCCCAGAAGACTCACTTGGGGAGGACGACGACATCATGGGGATCTTCAATTGGTGATCCTCCATCATGTCTTTCTTAAAGCTGTCTGCAGGAGCAAATGGAGATGCAAAACAGGTTGCAAAAAAGTCCTCTTCTATGAAGTTTTCAAGATACAATTTCCAGGATTGACACACAAAAACTTCAAGCCCTTTTTGTGTGTTTTGAAAAAGTTGTCAGGCCTCCAGTGGTGTCCAGTTGGTAGATAGTGGTTTGAGCCTCTGATGTGGGGCTGCAGGTGGGCTGGGGTCCTGTCATGAGCTGGAGCTCACACTTGTTGCACATCAACAGGTTGTGTGTCCTCCCTCTGGCCACCGGGGTCTGTCACTCTCTGCGGGTGCTTCCTCGGGGGCAGCTCTTCAAAAGGGAGCCCTTGGGGGGGTTGCAGGGGGAGGATTAGCCCCACGCGCTGTGTAAGCAGCATGCCTATTTGTCATCCTCTTAATCTTTACTGTTCATCTGGATCAATCAGTCACATTGCCAGAACATTGGTGCTGATCGGATTTTGATTGTGTCTGCAAACAACAACAGAATAAAAAACAGCAACAGTGAAGACTCCTCAAACCGTCTGCTGGAAGAGTTGTAACTTTAGAGCAGTTCCCATGCAGCTCCGTCTCCTTGTGTCTCCTCCGTCCACGAGGACAGTCAGTCAACACTCCTCTTCGGTATCTGCATTTAAGGGATGATTACACGAGGAGCACATTATTATATGTACCAGCCTCTTCAATTTGTATTCCCCTCTTTTTTTGACTCCAAATACCAGCTCCATTTCATACTGCTGTATATTTGATCTGTGTGATTGCCTCCCATTCATAATGACCCCCAGTGTTTGCTGAGAAGCTGACCATTAACTCCCATTCTCTCTGAACTGAAAATCACCCATTTCCTTTTGGCTGCCAAAAGAAACAAGGTCAGAGGGGGAATAATAGAGTTTTGAATGGCTGATGTTTGAGCGGACATTCGTTTAGCTCATTCGTCAGGGCCTCCTATTTATTATTAAAAAGCTAGAATAATCATATGGCATTAACATAGGCCTCGGTTTGAGGCTGCAGCATACGGGAGACTGGACCAGAGAATAGGAAACACACAGCTGTGTAATCAAATTTAAATTAATTCTGCTGGTTGTTTGCTAAAATGTCAATTTGGAGCAAATTGAGAAGCACAGTACAATATTGCTGTGATTAAGAAAAGAAAGGCCTCAAAACAGAACAAACAAGCCTTAAAAAAAGACTCAATTGTGCATTACAAACCAGAGAAGGGTCACAGAGGATCTCTGTCAAAACGAACATCTTTCAGTTCATAAATGCAAAGCAGGTGTCATTCTGCTGCTTTTGACAGAATGATCGCCCTCAAAAGCTGTCACATCCTGGCCCTGGCTGATCGCCTCCCTCACCTGTGTCTTTTCGCTCCCTGTAAATCACCTGCCTGGCCTCAATGAGCCTCAGCTGTCCCTACTCCTCAGCTGTGTATTTAGTCTGTGCTGTTTCCTTGGTCAGTGCCAGTTCGTCTTGTCTGTATAGCAGAAAGTGCTCCATGTTACTCTCCTGACGTAAGCTATTCTTCTAGCTGCTTAGCATTTGTACCAACCTAGTTGTTTTTTTTGTTGCTTCTTTAGTAGTTTTCCGCCAACATAGTTGGTTGTTTTTCGTTGCTTCCAGTCAGTACATTTTTTGATCATTGCCTGTTTTATTTTTACCTTTTGGATTAAACGCTTGACTAAAGACCTTTTTGCCTGGTTGTGCTCTTGAGTCCTATTTGTTGCTCGTGCCCGTACTTGTGTCTGATAGTAGCAACTTTCTGTGTTCGATTTTAATCGTTTGTTTCTTGCCACAGTTGAGTGATCTTAATCTAAAGGGGACACAAGCTGCCATGTTTGTGACATCTGTGAGCTGGCATCTGTACTGTTGTTGTTTTTCTGTTTGCTGTTTGTTCTGTGCTTGTTAATAACTCATGACTGACACATGAACGCTTAAAAGTGTTGATTGAGTTGTCACGGAGGAGCAAGCTGAAGACACAACATCTGACATATCATCGTGTTATAAAGTCATCATTGATAAAATGCACTTGGAGTCATATTCCAAAAAATGTATGTCTGTTCATTGCCCCTAAATGTTTCCATTTCTTCAACAAAGTACTTAGCTCATGGCAGGTGGTACAGTGGGTTTATCAGAGAATGTTTTTAGAACACATGCGCCTGCTGCTGGTTGAAAAACTCAAAAGAATTACATAAAAGAGACAAAAAAGAGGGTAAAGCTCGAACAAACTGCAACCACACACAACATTAAACAATTGAAATAATATGTAAAACAACACAATTGAAAACATTCATAAATAAACTAAATATTAATAAATGGATTTTCATATATATTTTTTATTAATAATTCAAAGTATCTTTGGGGGCGGGATTGTGAACTCATAACTTTTTTTCCAAATCCTTACTGTGAGCAACACATCACACACTCAAATATTGTTGTGTACAATTGGTTATTTTACATTTGAATATATTTGAATGAAAACATTCAAACTGACTTCAAGAACAGAACTCATATATTGCTGCTAAAGTATAAAATGTACTCTAAGGGCCAAATTAATTTTGATGCCAGAGACTTCCAGCTCCACCTTAACAAGGCCTGAACATAATTGGAAAAAACAAAGTGGAAAGCAGTTAAGTAGATTAGGGTGTGACCACATTTTGTCTGCCTGGGCACCAGCCGGAGTCACCAGAAGACGGGGGGGAAGAAACACAATTAGCTCAAAAGATTAAAAGAGCAGTAAAGACACACTTCTTGCAGGCATCTTTGGCCATATGGTGGCTACTCTCTTCATCCTTGGCCAACACACTGTTGACCTTTGTAAGATTTACCAGTTAATTAGGCTTGTGAGGTCAGTGTTTCTGCAGGCTCTCTGCGAGGATTCCCTAATTACACACTGATTACCATCCAGGATATGGAGTCATTCATGTTTAAAAAGAGAGCCAAGAAACACGTTAGATACACTCACATCTTAATTTAATCTTAATTTATCATCATCATAGGATTTAGAGTTCTTACATTTTTGCAAAAAAAATTGTTTGATTTAAAAATTGGTTGCCACGTAGAATACTCGAATACCAAGATCACATCAGTCAAGATGCTTAATCTGTCCAGTGGGTTTAAGTGTGTGAGGGGAAAGAGGGGTTCCAATTTCTATACCCCCGATTGCTCTTGCTTTGAACCCACCCATCTTCGAACTCAAGCTTTATTTTGATCTCAACTACAAACCTGTATAGTTCCCTGAATGCATCCTGCATGGTTGCAATGCTATCATTAGGATACAATCTTACAACAGTCAGTTAACTCTACTATTCTATATTTATGATGATAATATGTCACAGTGGTTAAACATAAAGAGGACATATAATGCTAATTTGTAGGTTCATGTTTGTATTTTGTGTCTCTACTGTGACATGTTTACATGCTTTAATGTTCAAAAAGCTCTTAATCTTTCTCATACAGCCTGTGCTGCAGCACCTCTTTTCACCCTCTGTCTGAAACCAGAGCCCTGTCTGCTCTAATTGGTTAGATGGCCGACTCTGTTATGATTGGTCAACCTATCACGTGTAATGTGTTGGAGCGCTAGCCAATAGATGCGCGAGCGTTACGTTGTGATGTCACTATCTTACGGAAGTAAACAAAGGAATCCAATGGAGGCGTTTCAGGCAGGGGGGGAGAGTGTGTTAGAGAAACTCCCTTTGAGATTTTAGCCTTTGCGGACCATTTACATGCACAAAGATATAACACACTACAGGAAAGGGAACACCCCTTTAAAGTTTTAAAGGTCCCATGTCATGGCTATTTCTACTGATCATATTTCCATTGTTGAGGTCTACTAGAATAGATTTAAATTGTGCAATTATCCAAACTCACATTGGTTTCTCATACAGCATCTCTGTAAAGTATGTGTATTCACTCTCTGTCCTAAACGGCTAGTTGGAGCTCCTGCCCCCCCCCCTCCCTGTGAGCCCAGTGTGCTCTGATTGGTCGGGACGTTGCGAGCTCGTTGCTGACAGATTTCCGGGTCGGCGATACAGCGAGAACAAGCGAAACTCATCCTGAGCACACACAAACACTCACAGCCGAAGTAAAAACAATAAGTGTGGCTTGATATTGAGTAAGAAAAAGGTTTATAACGCTGTGAGAATGGGTCTGCGGAGAGCATTTCTCCGTGATCCCAACTCGTCTATTACCAGCGTTCAGGGAGCTCTATGCAAGTCAATGGGGACTCCCTGTTAGTTAGCCAAGGGATCCTGGTGTGTGAGGTGCTCCGCGGATTGGTCCATTTGGGCCAATCCGGTCATTTGTTGTTGATTTGGGTATTCACACATCACAGAACCCAGGAAGCAAACAATGGAAAATCTGAAATCTCCAACGAGGCGTTTTGGGGCAGCATAGACTGTGTTAGAGTTTTACTCGCTACAGGGTGTACTTTGAGGGTTTTTGACTCTGCAGACCGTTCACATGCATAAAAACCTTCATAACACACAAGGGGACGGGTAATAACCGGAAAAGCATGACATGGGACCTTTAAAACAGACCGTATTGCCATCAGACTGTCTATTACAGATCCTTTTATTGCCAAAAGATAAAAGGCCTCAGAATCAACATTTAGATCAGAACCAACTAACCTGCTCATGTCCAGCTCATCTCTTCTTCATGAATTATGCAGCTTTGATTTACTTATAATGTGCTGATGGTGCCTTTGATTATCTCATGAGTGATAGCCTTATTGCTTTATTATTTATTGAAATCACATTTACTATCCACTCAAATAATGTGAGATATGCAAACAGGGTGAGGGTTAAGGTGCAATCTCTCCATTATTAACCTTGGTCATAATTACACAAAATAAAGAAGGATGGGGGGTGTTAACATTTTAGGATATGTGAGATTCACAAGAAGCTTTCCTGCAGCTCTTTCTCATGCAGGTAGCACTCACTTGAGCGATTTTCAACCTTTTAGGTTGACGATCAGTCAT